ACATGCCGGGGTGCCGGGCTCATCAACATGAGGATGTCTGCGTTTTCAGGGAACTTGTTCTACTTAGATTTGTTGGTTTGCAGCACTTTTGTAGCGCTTTGGCGTAAGGCAGCAGTGGATGACATGCTACCAGAACCTTTGCGAGATCTTCTGCCGTGGTGAGGACTCTTAATTCTTAATCTGCTTAAGCCCAAATCCCGAAGTTCGGCTCGAAATTCGGAAAGGCATGCTGGCGCATCTAGTCGCAAAGGGGTTGGCGCAGTTCCGCGCTCATCGCAAGTGTTGAGGTGTCATGGCGCAGCCGCATATAGAAGTAGCGTAGCCACCCCGAGCGACATCGAATGCGACTGGCAGAATTCGCTGCCTATCACTGCAGCCTGAGCACGGGTTCGAACCAAGACCAAGACCACAGAAAAAAACAGCCTACATCAGAAACGACCACCGTCTTGGTTCTTGCCTCGATATCTCTCTTTCGCTCCTGCTCCTCTGCCTCCCTCTCTCTCTCTCTCTTTCTGTCTCTTTCCGTCTGTCTCTCACTCTCTCTGACTCTCTCTCTCTCTCTCGCGCTCTCTCCCTCTTTCTCTTCCTCACTCTACTGGCCAGCAGTTGCGAGAATTCAGCAGCTGCGTAATCATGCATCGTGAATTGTACGGCGGAAGCCTGCCAGACTGATTTCTTGGAGAGCTGAGATAGCACGAGCTGCAACACAGTCGACCGGGTTCACTCTGACCGCATGCGTTGGGTGTATGCGCAAGTGCATGTCGCATGCTGTCGCTAACGGGTGCGTGTCGAACTTGTTGCGGTTGTACCAATTGCGTGGCTTTTGTGGCCAGCTGTTGGGGGTTCAAGGGCTTCAATGCGGCTCCAAGGGATCCAAGGGCGCACACCAGAGTTTGGGGTCGAGGGTCGAGCCATGTTGGAAGAAAGCTTCTCAGCCGTATGGCTCAGGGTCAGCTTGGTCATCCGGTTAGCGAAAACCCGTGACCTACATCTTCAAACAATGAAATCGAGCAATCCGTTGTTTTTGTTTTTGATGTTACTGGCATCTTTGCGGCTTGAGATCATAGCTGTTCATGTCCGTGCCGTGCCACGTTCTTGTACAAGCTGGAACCATGACATGAGCCACTACACATGCAAATGTTGAAGTGCGTTGTTCTAGTGTCTTCGCAAAACGACGGCGAGCTACGCTGTCTGTTCCCAGCGCTTTCATGTTTTCCGTGTGAGACATTGAGCCATGTTGAGCCACTTGAATTCAGTTCCTGGTCAGGTTGCGGGGGGCCATGCGGTTTAAGCCAATGCTTAGATCCGAGCTGTCATGGTCCGCAGCATCAACGCTGCGTTGGTGTTGCCCTGCAGAAAGTGCGATTTGCAAGCAAGATGAGGCGGGATGATGAAACATTTAAAAAGCATGTGACCGCTGAAAGAAGCATGCAAGGCAAGACTTTTTGCTTCTTCTTTGTAAGCAACGAGGAAGCGGGGGCAAGCCGAGATTGCAGGCTTGGTATGCTGCAGGGTCCAAAAGACTTCTGCGCTGCTTCCTGGTGGCAGGTTTAAGGTTTAGGTTGTGTGCATGTGAAAGGCTCAGCTGATGCTCTTGGCACAGACAAGCGGCCTCGAGGGCGCATTCTTCGGCTCGGCTCCCGGTGAGGTCGTTGAAAGCCCCTGTCGAGCCTTGTTTGCGAGTAGCGAACATTGAAAGAAGTATGCTGTTCCCAGTTTAAATAGGCAGCTATCAAGAAATTCTGCATTTGCCACGTTAGCGCAAGATAGTGCAAAGCAGCGACGGGTGTTTGGAGTAGACCAGTAAGATTTCTATGGCTTGAGACTCATGTGTGCGCTGCTGTCCATGGCTTGAAGCTCTCGGCGCACCTGAGGCCAGATCAAGCAGCCGCCATCAAACGAAGGAGATCTCACCAACCTGCTTTTTGCCGTTGATCAGGTTGCTCTGCCTTGCTCAGTCGTATGAGACACATTCGTGCAGGCAACAGCTCGACAAGAAGGCCGTGCGTCGACGCCTTGCGTTGTGGCGCTCAAGGACAGCTGGGGTGACATTGGCAACATCATGTGCAGAGCGTGCACGCGTCGCGCACATCCAAACACGCGCAATTCTTGTTGGAAGTAGCGGCGATGAGCAATGTTGGTTGAGCCCTGGCCAATCAGGGCATCCTCACTCAGCCGGGATGCCACTCGTGTCGCTCGAGCAACTGATGTGCATGTTGACTTTCGTCAGCGCTCCGTGCGTCGCCATGTCCTACACGACGAGCGGGAGCGCCTCGCAGCGGCAAAGCAGCTAAGCGGATAGCCTTATGCGGAGCTTCTTACAGACTAAGCTTGCACGCTGAATCGGCCGGCAAGGCTACTCTGCCTAGGGCCAAGGGCCCAGGCGATCAATCCTGTGCGGAGCCGCCGAACAAATCCCCAAAGCTGTGGACATGTCTGGATCATGGGGCAAAGAACCGAAGAACCGATCGTGACTCGATGGGATGCGATGGGCCTGCACACAAGGCTTCGGGCTTGCTCTGGCCTCAATCGCGAGCAGTGCGCCTCAGATGCTTGTCAAACTTTTCCTTGTCGGGAGACAAAAGCGACTGAGAATAAACAGTCAAGAAGAGTGGCCCCTTAGGCCTTAGGCACGTGCTGGTAAAGACTCCGTTTCGGACAATGCTGACATGTACCACTGCATTTGTGGCATGGAAGGGCCGGTTTGGCATCGCGAATCATCGCAATCGCGGTCAAATAATTTGCCTTCATTGTCCTCATGCTCCGGTTCCACGTTGTCATTTGTGCCTGCGTGTGTGAGGACCGTGGATGGCGCATGGTGTGGCCCACAGCTCCATATCACTTGGCAAGGTTTGGCGCGTTCATGCTGAAGGCAGACAGTCTACACCACTTTGGCTGGGGACGTGCTGAAGAAGGGTGCAAGGCGTCAACATCACTAATGAAGGAACATGATGCGTGCACTCTGCGTGCACTTGCGAGCAGGGCCTACAGAGCTGCCGCCGAAGATCAGCAGTACCTGAAGGATGCGGATTTTTCTGTGTGAGCTTGATTTGCTGTTCGCTGCAGAATGTTTTTCGTGTTCATGGCAGGCTTGCGGAATCGCGAGCAATCAGCCCGCTAACTCAGAAATTGAGTTTCCCGAGGAGCATGCAGAGCCTCTCATAGTTACGGCTTCTTTGCCCGCCAAGCTGCGCAGGAGATTCAGCCATATGCCAGCTGCAGAGGGCAGAGCCCGCTGGATGCCGACCCAGATTGTGTGTGCAGACTGCCATCCTCACATCTGACATGAGCATTGAACAGCATCGAACAGCATTGAACAGCATTAGCCACTGAATCGTGCAGGAGCTTTCTTATTGGTGCATCCCACGGTCGGTGCAGGCTCGGCAGTGGCCGGTGCTTTGACTTGCAGAGCCTCGCAAAGTCTTCTCCGTCTCAAGGTCAGCCTCTGCGAAGCGGGCATTCAGCACCTGCACAGGTGGCAAGCTGAATGCCTGAACTGCCCTCAGGCGAGGATGAGTTCTGCATATTTCTGCATCCAGTTGGAGCCGTGACCATGCGCAGGTCCTCCAAGGGCAGTCTCTTGTTTACGATCCCTCCTGAGCCGGTCTGCTGCGGGTGGTTGGATGCTTTTGACGAGATGCCCGGCAGATTCTTGCAGATTTCAGGTCGCTCCCACCAGCGCAGGAAAGTCTTTGGTATCTGAGGCATCATAAGGTCTTAAAGACTGTCAGATGAAGAGCGGCTGTATGTGGCTGTCTGAATCACAGCAAGAGGCTGCAGTTCTTGGGACTGGCATGAGATTCTGAGTTTTGGCAGGTCTTGATGCTGCGACAGCTTCTATTTCGTGGACGGCGGGCTCTTCTCGTTCTGCCGTTTGTGGCCACCTTACGGATCCTTACGGCAATGCGTCTTTGCAATGTTTGTCAGTGCCAGAGCACTGTTCCAGGAGAAGACTAGCGACACCCTGATAGTGTCATCAGCAGTGACATGAAGCGGGAAAGTGAATAGATTCTCGATTATGCTTGCTCACCCCGGTGTAAGGGAGGTTTCGTTCTAAGCAGCAGCCAAAATCAAAATGACGTCCTTCCGACAAACATTCGCCTCTAATCGAGGGTTGGGGACTGGGATGTGCCGGGGCTGTGCACGCTGAAACGTCATGAAACCTCTCTACTCAAGACACGCTGCCCGTGGCATCTATGCTGCCAGTCTGTGGTAAGCTTGCGCATGCTGTTTTCCTGGAGGTCTCAATCTGTGTAGAGAAGGTCCAGAAACTTCGTCAAAGCTTTGGGGCATGTGGCCCCAGACTAAGCAGATTCACCTAGAATTGATGCCTACTGTTGATTGCGGAGTGCAAGAATCCGATGTTTGCCTTTCGCAGGTCTTCGAGTAGAAGGTCTCTACTCAGCATCGGATGGCAAGTGTATGCCTGAGATGCTGTAGAGTACCCGGGATCGATGCATGTGGGGTGCTAGCCGTACAAACCTGTTCTGGTGTATCGTGGATGTGCACTCGAGGTGGCATGCTGGCGCGGATGTTGCTGTCTGCACTATTGAGAAAGCTAGTGCCTTGCTCAATCGCTTACTGGAGGCACCGCTTCAAGTGGCTTGTCATGGCGTGTCCAGACCTGGTTTGGCTCAAAGATGTCTCGTCATCTCGATCTGTCAGGAAGATGCACTTCTGCGAGACATCGGTGTAGCTTCCAGGTTGCAAAGGCAGCAAAGGCCAATGGTATATTTGTGACTTGGGTCGTGCCATGACGCAGACTCCTGCATCATGACATACTTTTGTCTCAGGGCGATAAAGGTAGGTTGGGTAGTAGGAGCAAGTACCCCAAGAGTTTGTTTAGCGCACGCAAAGTACCCACCCAAGCAATTTTCTGCAAGGTTGTCGTAGATGAGATGCACCTTCTTGGTGAGGCAACGCCTGGATCCTTTCTTGCTTGTCAGATTGTTCGTCATCTTCAACGTGCTAAATCTGTGACATTCTGTGACATTGTTGCGATGCTGGAGGAGCACCGGGGCTATCTGTTGGAGCTCATCTTGGTAAAAGCAAGGCTGAGTGCCGACATGGCCAAGGCCTTGAAGCACACGGAAGCAATGTTGAACAGTTGAGCACGCAATGCAATGCCTTTCAGCCGGCACGAGATGGCACGATATCAAGTTTTCAGACGTGTAGGCAAAGGCTGCGGACGCGGGTGGCGGCAGCCCCGCCTTGTTGAGCTCTATGTCAACTCGCTGTTCGCATATGCTCGCATCATCCAGTCGCTTGTCAGGTGCAGCACTTCAGATCATAGGCATGTCGGCAACGCTTCCGAACGTGCAGCTGCTGGCGGACAGGGTTTCCTACATGCTTGTACATAGATCTGTACATAGGGTCAACCCATGCCAACCCGGTCCCTGCGCCGTGTTCTCAAAGGACTGGCTGGGGGCCAGGCTCTATGTCAGCAACGACCGGCCAGTCCCGCTCAGCCTCTCAGTCGCTGTGAAGGGTCAGGTCTGGACCTTAGGCCTTGTAGGCCTTAGGCCGCCAGTATTTCCCTGGAATCTGCTCTGGTCGCTTCTGCTCACATTTCGCGCAACATGACTCTTCTCAAACTCATTCTAGGTCCTGCACCAGAACCGAGGAATACAGGTGCGCCTGACATGTTTGAAAAATCGAGTTTCCGTTGCTTTCCAGAGCGCTTCACCGCCCATGATGACATGCGAAAATCAGAATTCGTCTGCCCTTCTCGACCTCTTCGTTCACGACATCAGATGAATGTATGTTTCTCTCATCGATCGAGTGGACTTGCTACAGCAGGCAGCCAGGCCCGAGGCAAAGAACAGTCGGGACCCAGATGGACTGGTGCCCTTGGTTTCGGTGCGCTCCTCGACACCTGCGATAGATTCTTAGATTTGCAATGCCCTGGCAGCTTGTCGCTGCCAGTCACAGCCATACAGTATGTGAGTTATGCGAGTCGAAGTATGACGAAGTCACATGACAATTCACAGGAGTGCGTCTCAATGCAGCAGTCGGTCCTCGTCTTCTGTGCTACGAAGGCATGAGAACTTAGCGCTTTCCTGTGCGTTCGCGTGCTCTTCTCACTGCTTTCCACGTGTCGCACGGTGCTCTAAGCTTAGCACAGTCAGCACTCTGAAGTTTCGTGAGCCACATTAGAACCAGCAGTGCAGGAGAGGCTGGGGGGAGTTTGAGGGGAGTGTGGACCACAACTGCACTACAGCGCTTTTTGGACCGAAATCCGGAAAAGAATGAAGCGTATCATATGAGTTTGGGACGAAGCCTTTCAGCGTCTGGTGGCTGATTTCTTGCTCCTCCTTTTTTTAAAGATATTTTGTTATTGTTTTGCTCGTTCTTGCTTTTTCAGGCCTGGGGGGTTATGGGCTAGGGATGATGGACGAACCCTGACACACCGCGCAGTCGCAACCACGTGGTCTTCGGGCTGTCTGTGCGGCAGTTCATTGCCATCGTCAGAGCGAAGCCGGTCGTAGGTCGCGTTCTTCCTTTCTTCCCTTCTTCCCTTCTTCCCTTCTTCCCTTCTTCCCTTCTTCCCTTCTTCCCTTTTTCCCTTCTTCCCTTCTTCGCTTCTTCGCTTCTTCGCTTCTTCCCTTCTTCCCTTCTTCCCTTCTTCCCTTCTTCCCTTCTTCCCCTCTTCCCCTCCTCCCCTTCTTCCCTTCTTCCCTTCGTCCCTTCGTCCCTTCGTCCCTTCTTCCCTTCTTCCCTTCTTCCCTTCGTCCCTTCTTCCCTTCTTCCCTTCTTCCCTTCTTCCCTTCTTCCCTTCTTCCCTTCTTCCCTTCTTCCCTTCTTCCCTTCTTCCCTTCTTCCCTTCTTCCCTTCTTCCCTTCTTCCCTTCTTCCCTTCTTCCCTTCTTCCCTTCTTCCCTTCTTCCCTTCTTCCCTGCTTCCCTGCTTCCCTTCTTCCCTTCTTCCCTTCTTCCCTTCTTCCCTTCTTCCCTTCTTCCCTTCTTCCCTTCTTCCCTGCTTCCCTGCTTCCCTGCTTCCCTTCTTCCCTTCTTCCCTTCTTCCCTTCTTCCCTTCTTCCCTTCTTCCCTTCTTCCCTTCTTCCCTGCTTCCCTGCTTCCCTTCTTCCCTGCTTCCCTGCTTCCCTGCTTCCCTTCTTCCCTTCTTCCCTTCTTCCCTTCTTCCCTTCTTCCCTTCTTCCCTTCTTCCCTTCTTCCCTTCTTCCCTTCTTCCCTGCTTCCCTGCTCCCTGCTTCCCTTCTTCCCTTCTTCCCTTCTTCCCTTCTTCCCTTCTTCCCTTCTTCCCTTCTTCCCGGCTTCCCTTCTTCCCTGCTTCCCTTCTTCCCTTCTTCCCTTCTTCCCTTCTTCCCTTCTTCCCTTCTTCCCTTCTTCCCTTCTTCCCTTCTTCCCTTCTTCCCTTCTTCCCTTCTCCCCTTCTTCCCTTCTTCCCTTCTTCCCTTCTTCCCTTCTTCCCTTCTTCCCTTCTTCCCTTCTTCCCTTCTTCCCTTCTTCCCTGCTTCCCTGCTTCCCTTCTTCCCTTCTTCCCTTCTTCCCTTCTTCCCTTCTTCCCTTCTTCCCTTCTTCCCTTCTTCCCTTCTTCCCTTCTTCCTTTCTTCCTTTCTTTCTTCTGTTTTCTTCCTTTCTTCCTCCTGTTTTCCTCCTTTCTTCCTCCTGTTTTCCTCCTGTCTTCCTCCTTTTTTCATCATTTTTTCCTGCTTTCTTCCTCCTTTCTTCCTCCTTTCTTCTTCCTTTCTTTTTCTACTCTTCCTTTCTTCTTCCTTTCTTCTTCTTCCTTTCTTCTTCTTCCTTTCTTCTTCTTCCTTTCTTATTTTTCCTTTCTTCTTCTTCCTTTCTTCTTCTTCCTTTCTTCTTCCTTTTTTCTTTCCTTTTCTTCCTTTTTTGTTCATTTCTTACTTTTTTGTTACTTTCTTACTTTTTACTTATTTTTGCATTTCTTCCTTTCTTGTTCCTTTCTTGTTTCTTTCCTAGCTAGAAGGGCGGAAGCCCCCGTGAGGGTTGCGTGCCAGGCTGGGTCTGTCGACCCGTGTTCTGCCTGTGAGACGGTAGCTGCAGCACAGTGCAGGGCCCAATGGATCCCAGTTCTGAACCATTGGCCAACAAGCATCTTGCTTTCTGCTGCTGCTCCGGATGCAGCCCCCTATGGCTGTTCTTCACCCCAGCACATAGGCTCTGGCACCTGTACAAAATGTATCGTTGTTGTGTCGTTGTTGTATCGTTGCTGTATCGTTGTTGTATCGTTGTTGTGGTTGTCGTGGTTGTCGTGGCTGTCGTGGTTGTTGTGGTTACAGTGGTTGCAGTACGGGGCGGAGGCGACGTGGTGCTGAGGGTCCTTGTGGTGGTGGTTGTGACGGCAGTGCTAGTCAGTAATGGATGTTTAGGCACACAGGCCGTCGTGGAAGAGAAGTAAATGTGTGTAAATGTATTCCTTCTCCCGCTTGGATTGTGCCACGTCCCACATCGGTCCTATCTGCCTTCCGAGTATGCAATCCTGCGGAGTTCTGGGGACAGGGGGAGAAGCAGACCTATGCAGTCTCTCCCTGCTGGCACCTTTAAGACTCTAAGTGTGTAGTGCTGCATGCATTTCGGTACACTTCTCAGACTCACGCCGCTTTTGTGCAACTCGCTGTCCGCAGGATTGGTGCGAGAAAGCAGCTGCCTTGTTGGCTGATGAGATGCACTTTCAGCTCGAGGAGAACTCAGGTCCTGGCCTTGGAATGCGGTGTGCAAACCTGCTTTTGATAAAGTTGCACGGAACTCTTTCGCCAGGTCCCGCCATTGCCTGGGCCTTATCATCCGCACATGGCATCCTAGGCCCTAGGCCGGTGTTGTGTCTCGCCAGCGTGGAGTAAGCTCGTTTGTTTCACAGAGCGGTTGGAGTTCTGACTGCCCGTTCGGATTGCATTGATTGTTTTCCGCGTTTGGCTTTGGTGCTCTTCTCCCACCCGCGAATTGACACGTGTCCCTGCATTTCGTCGCTAAGCTTTCAGACGTCTCACGAACATGAGGCGTATTAATTTAGGATAGGCGTTGCCTTCAATGTTTCTTCCGACTCAAGGCATGGCAGCAAAGTCAAGATAAGAGGTTGTGAACTCAGACAGCGGTCTACTACCTACCTGCGCATCTTACAATCCATCTGTGCTGCTTGGCAAACACAAATTGAAGACAAACATCCAGGCTACAGCTCGTGGAAGAATTGAAACAGACGCCGGAGCCTGTTCAATCATTTGGCTTGGCTATGCTTGGCTGCGTAGCCCAGATCCCGGGTGTTCTTGGCAAAGGCATTCTGGCTTGTGTCCAGTCCTTGCCAAGACTGTGCCATGCACTCAGCTGTCAGAAGCACCACGCTGGGACTATGACAGGATCGTCCTTACAAGTGCATGTCCTGATATATTTTCATATATAATCAGTGCATAGCAGTGCATACCATTGCACACCAGTGCAAGCCAGGCTCCGTGGGGTTGCTTATCACCACGCAGGCACACAAGACGGCACTTAAGGCAGCCTGTAGGGTTTTGAAGCCGCCACGGCCGCCGCAGCCTTCTGTCAGGGCTTACAACGGACGAGCGCAGTCTGCTGGAGGCAGCTTACAGGAAGGGAATCTTACGCTGCATGGCTGCAAAGGGTCAGGAAACTTTGAGCATCGGGAAATCGTCTATCGGGTTTCTACGAAGCCTGCTTATCTTTGCGTCCGAGGTTGTCTTTGTGCCACGTCTACTCTGGCTGCAGGGGCCTGGAGCTGATAACAGAAGCAACCCCTCCAAGGTACTGCAAGCGTCTCGTTCGGCGCTTAACATGATGCTGCTCCGGTGATTTCTTCAAGCACAGGTCAATCTACCAGCTCGGCGAGTCATCATTCGATCCATGAAGGCTGTTTCTATGTCGCAAATTCGGACCAATGGGTATCTCATCTACATCTCATCTACTGTAGCTTGAACTTCTTGTCAGATGCAATCTGTTGCAACGCCTCTTGAAGCAGGCACTCACCGTCGAATCGTTCTTGCATGCAAGAATCATTCATGTTTTTCGCGGTTTTTTAGTTGCAAATGTATCCAGTGGCACGGTCGCTTTACTTTGCATCTGTGTGCATTCACGAATTCAACCCGCAACAGTCGCACCAAGACCCCCTCTTTGGAATCTCTACCGGTCGCTGATGCCCGAAGGAACTGCTGGTGGATGATCGGCTCCGATGCTATACCCCGCACGTACTGTCACTCAAGAAGTTACGTGCAAAGTCAGACCAGTACATGGCGCACTATCGTGACAGATAATTTGGTCCTTGCGCATCCGCTCCAGCACACCGCCGCCCATCCAAGCCCGTACTGAGAACGAAATTTGCCCCACCCTCCTTCAGGCAAGAATCTCAAAGGAAGGGTATGTACCCGTTGTCACTTTTTTTGTGGGCAGGTGGGACGAGATCCCCTAGATGCAGTTCGGTTCAGGCAAATGGCTGGGAACACCTCTCAGCTTGTACTTGGCTCATCAAGTAGATCCAGGGATCTGTTGCAGGTTTGGTCCCAATCCTTGTCTGCTCCTTTCCTTTTCCTAAGGCGTGCAGGTCGTGTCGGCTTCGATACAGAGGCTGGGTCCGACAGTCTATATGAACATCTCACCGTGCCCAATCCACGCCAGCAAGGGCGAATGCATTGTTATGGCCAAGTCGCTAAAAGAAGCAGACGAGGCTTGGAGTCATCTGTATGGCCTTGCTGTGAAGATGGTTTTCTGCTTGCCTGACAAAATACTGGCTCATGTCGAAATGCCTCGAGAGGCTCATGCGCTCTTCGCAGCCCAGCTACAGCCCTTGCGGCGACAAACTTAGGATGCTACCAAGCTGGGCAAGACTTGGACATGTATGGAGATGCGTGGACGAGCCCCGAGTACTGGATTCTAAGCCACCTGCACACCTGGAACCGGGTGGGTATGTGTGCATGTGTGAACTCGTGTGCCTTCGCATTTGTTCACTGATTCTCTTCAGCATCTCAGCGTGGAATCCCGATTTCCCTCTCGCGAACGAAGCTGCAAGTGCCGGCCCTGACAAATCCTGAAAAATCCTGAAATGCCACGTGGGCGCACCACCGTCGACGAGCCAGAAATGATAAGCAAGGGGCGAGGCACGTGGTCAAAACATCACAAAAAGGTTCACAAGCACCTACGAACACTTGCAACCTCTTAAAGCAAACATAGTTGATGCGGTCCCGCTTTGGTCCGCGGCGGTGCCTCCAGACTCAAGCATCGCCTGTACACGCCAAACGGATACTGTTCAGAGCTGAGCACAGCCGTAATCTGAGGATCTGATTAACAGGGCCCCGCCTCATTGCCCGGAAATAAAAGGAAAGGGTCGCACTCTTTCTTGGGCTGGTTGTTTTGTGGGGTTTCGGGAGGGGGGGGGGGTGTGGGCGGGTGGGCTTCAAGGGGTTGTCCTCTTGTTTCGTTTTCCGGTTCTGCAAGAATCCGAGGGCACGTGGGCAATTGCTTCCTTAGGCAACTGTGCTTATCGTCGTCGTGGGCTAGCCAGGCTGTCCATCCCTGTAGCCTTCAGCACTTTTTTTGGACCACTTCTTTACATCGTTTTTTTTTTTTTTTTGTGCATTTTGGTGGTTTTGGCCCCAGCACTTGAAAGTAGTCTTCCCGGAGGGTTTGGGCCAAAACAGATTTTCGTTAATTCAAGGGCTGTATTAGTCAGATCCTCGGATTAAGGGGAATGGCTAGTTGTGGGCCCCCTGGTGACTCGTCCTTTTTCTGAGCTTGCGCCCCCAGCTTCTACCCCGTTTTTTCACTCGCTCGCTCGCTCGCTCACACTCACTCACTCACTAACATAATTGATGTCGGGGCCGGCCAAGTTGACAACAGTACAAGGATGAGAATAACCCTGAGAAACTCAGAACCTACGCTGCGATAGTCATCATGATTGTGCTGTGTGCTCGGGAACCGCTGTAACGATGACAAGAGAAGTGCTCACGGAGCGCAAAGGTACTGAGCAATCGCTTGATGAACACACAAATGGGAGTACAGGCGCGTGGCACGTGGCCGTTGACGGTCATCAGGGGCTTGGTTATGGGATGGGTTGGGATGGGTTTTGGCCTGCTTATGACGTGCAGGGGGGCTTCTCTTGTGCTCTGTGGTTCCTGGCTTGATCTTGTTTCAGATGATGGTTTTGTTGTTCATCTGCAAGTCCCAAGTGGCTTACAAGACATCTTGAAGCAGAGGGAAACATTGTGACTTGCAGGGTCGCAAATTCAAGTCAGGTCGGCTTTGGGAAAGGAGCGCTTAGTTGCTTCCTCAGCACCTTTTCGCCGCTTCTTGTGACGGCTTGTGTGAAGCTTTTGCATCGCCGTCCAGCAGCCAGTGGACCAAGGTTAGGGCCGTGCTGGAGGCAGCCCTTTTGCACATTCGGTGTTTGGTGTGCAATCAGGTTGAAATCTGTTTGTTGTTGGAGGTAGTGAGCTTGGGGCTCATTCGCACGGTTGAAGAGATCGAAGTGCACTTTGCAAGGAGCCTCCTCTAGCAACTACTTCTAGCCTGCGCTCGGAATTGAGAGAATTCAGATTGGCAAGACGAGCAGAGTTGCACAGAGCCGTCAAACCTCTAATGCAGGAGACTCTTCCGTTTTTACGAAGAGCAGCTGGATTCCCAGCTTCAACCGCGGGCCGAGGATCTGCCCATATCTGCTGGCGGCTGCCCACGGCGGGTCATTATTTCCAGGCTCTCACTGCAGCAGAGCATCGGCAATCCAACTAGCAAATGCTGCGATGAGCCAAAAAGCAACCAAAGCCCGCCAAGAATCCAAGCAATCTCCTTACGCTGTCCCAGTCCATTGGCCCAGCGGAAATTCACGGCCCGAAATGGGCGGGACCCGTCTGCCCTCGACACCAATTGGCAATTCAGCATCTTTTCGGTAAAGCAGCACTTGCTGTTTCATACGATTGTTTATGACACGCCTGTCGCAACTCCAATCGTCGCGCGATTGAATCGGCCACCTAGCGCACGCCTTGTTTTTTCATGATCTTCTGCGCCCTGCGCTGAACAAAAGGCTTCGGACCAACACAAGCGAGCAGTAGTGATTAGTTCACACGTGCAGCAAATGGTCGCACAAGTTATGCTGCTTGAAGCATGCAACTTGTGCACCAAACCGAAGAGCTCATGTTTCAACAGCATTCCCGCTCCCCTCCTACCTTGAATTCCAGCCGCGCTTTTCATTTGGCTGCTAACTGTCCTGTGGCACTGGCACTCTGACGGCTGTACGCATGCTGTACTGTGCATTTTCTCTGTATACACTGTTACTCATGTTTATACAGTTCTACTATTTATACATCTTACTAGTAGCTACATCGCCTACATCGGCTGCGAGGCGTGGTGTAATGTGAGATGGAACCGTCCTCTGTGAGGTTCCGCAATGAGACCGCGAAGCCTGGAGCAAAGTTCTGAGTAAAGCGAATGGCAGGAGCAAATTGCCAAGACGCTTGTGGACTACCTCTTCGGTACTCGTTCCGCTCGTTTCCGTGAGTCAACGAGCCATGCAGAGACAAAGTCACGAAAGCTAGCCGCCGTGGGGCTAGCGGAGTATTTTCCCAACCGCAGGTGGAACCTGCAGGCATCTGCCTTCCACTGCTGAAGCTTCCGAGACACTTAAGATGAAAGGCTTAAGGCCTGAGGCCTTCAAGCTTTAGGCTTTAAGGGGGCCCTAGAGCGGCCAAAAGGCCTGCAACGAACCGATCAGACCTCAACTCGTCCGAGTGTCGGGCATGCCCGGGTCCAAACGTAAGTGTGACCTTTTGCAGCCTCCCGCTGCGGATTTTGGGGGTCTGTAAATAGAGAGCAGCATTCTTCTGGTTCTGGGTCTGCCTTGAATATTGAAGGCTCGAAGTGGGCGCAGGACTGTAGTATAACGATTATAACTTATAACGATTAAGAGGATTCCTTGGACCGAGGTCCCCGTCCAGTTTTTGCAGCGAGTGTGTGGTGGTGGCCTCAGCGGATGGCGGCATGCAGGGATGGGACATCAGGAAGGTGCATTTCCAATCGCGAGCTTGATCCTACATCCATCTCGTACCCTGTTTTGTCATGTCGCGCCTTACTTCCCGTCTATGCATCATCATGCATCGTTTGCCGGCAGAGTGCTGGCAGCACGAACTGCCTGCTGAACCGACTTTTGTCGGGCTGAGGGGGCTCAGGTTCCATCAACTTTGCTGCAAGATCTACGTTCTGCACTGTGCTCATTGAAGGCTCGAGATTGTTGCCTGTTCCGAGGCGAAGTGCATGAGTATGCATGAGAGTGCAAGAGCTTTGGGATGTGATCTATATGGTGATATTCTTCACGTAGTGAGTATGCTTTGTTTAGACTTTTCTTGCAGAAAGGCACAGAGGCTGATCGAGGTGGACGATGGCTTTGTGGACCGCTACTCAGTTCGAGCCATCTGCTGCAGAGGAAGTTGCGCAGCTTTGGGGGCGGCCGGGTATGACCCTGTGGCAAGGGCATCCGCCAAAGCAGCAGTGGCAACTTGCAGTGTGAAGGCCAGCGATGTGATACAGCATGCGCGTGTAGCTGTGCCGGATGTACATGTCAGGTGGGCCGTTCGCGCCACAGGCAGAAGATCGGAGTGACTTACTTGACTTGGACGGCCGACCATTTGCACAGGCCACGATTCGCTCAACTCCGCTGGGCAATGGCGTCGTACATTCTGCCCTGCGACCTGAAGAGGTGCTTCTGCAGTCTGGGCAATTCATTCAATGCAATTCGCTGCTTTTGAATGACAAACTTGCTGCAGCCAGCACAGACTCCTGCAGCTCAAAACAGGCCCTGAGCGTCTTTGCAGACCTTCAGACAGCTCGGAAATGCCTTTGTCCGGAGCTACTTTTGCATGCGACCAAGAGACGCTCTTTCGGACATGCTCTCTCTAAGGTTTGGACAACGATCTCCATCTGATTTTTCTCGCGACTCCTGCAACAGCTGCGACCATGGAGCCAGTGGAAACCTGAGCAGACATATTCGGGGGTGTGAGGGCTTGCGCTGGGTGCACCTCCTCAACCACACTCAATTGTTGCCCCCCTGCTTCTTCGATCTGTGCTCAGCTTCAGCGCCTCAGCATGTGGTGGATGTCGCAGTGCTTTCACTACACCTTTCGCCTGGTCATTAGGTCATTTCGGGTGCTAAAAAAAGGTATGGAACCTAAGTAGCGACAGTCTAGACCCCAACTTCGGCCTAGAGTCGCGCCAGACATTGCAGATGCAGTGAGCCATGTGAGCTTGCATGCTTTTTGAGGACTGGGGGAGGTACCTCAGCTACTATGAGAGACTTCAACCAAGGGATCGAGCCGCAAGCCCAGCTGAAAAGAGGCCGGCGAGACGAGGACATCTTAGAGTCTCAGTAATCTTGGCAGGCCGTTTCTGATGCAGTTGGAGTCTCGCACCATTTTCTGCTGAAGCAGGCTGGCCGCGCACACACGCACACCCGCACGCACACACGCACGCACGCACGCACGCACGCGCACACACACACACATGTCACTATTCCATCTACAGTGTCTCCACGTACAGTAGATGTCTGCGAAACCCTGTGCGCGTAAGCCTGCGCAGTTGGTGCTGGTGCCTACGAGGTTTCTTCGCAGAGCCCATGCAACGATATTGCATACGCCTTGCAGGGCTGCTCCTCCGGTCCGGAGGAGCATCATGAGACGTTTACGGCATGCCCCAGAAACACCGTGAGTCCGTGAAACGTCGTGAAACACGAGGGAAGCAAAAACAGGAAGCTTCACGAACCTGTGAACCCTTCGGGCCCAAAAAATGTTCTTGGAATCAAGACAGCTGCTTTGCCTGGCTCTCATGAAATCGCATTTTCTAAAGCGCACAAAGAAATCGGGAAATAGCGAGTGGGGTGGGACAGGGAGTGGACATCAGCTTCCCCATTCGTGTTTATTGCACGTGTCGCTGAGGCGAATCCCATGCATGTCAAGATATGTCAAGCCCCATCACGAGAAAATTTGCTCGAGAAAATTTGCGAGCGTTTTGAGATGACGATGATGATGTTGATAATGTTGATGATGTTGATGATGTTGATGCTGATTCGAAAAACAGCTATGTGAAATCAAACAATCCCACCAACGAGCTGGATCATTCGCCTGGCTTCCTAGCGTGCGACCGCGTGCGATCATTGGCATCTTGACTACAAGCAGAGCAGCAGAGCAGCTTGCATCTGCAAAGTTACCTCTGTTCTTTGCTGTGAGCGAATGTGTAAATCAAATCTACACGGAGCGCGCAGGCCTCCATCTGACTTTTGCGAGCAAAGTTGCAACCATGTCCAGAGCCCATATCCTCCATCCACAAATCAATAGGAGTGTTGCCTGCAGGCTGCGTGCGCAAAATCACGGCTAGAGGTATGTTCTGCAGTAGTTGCGGCATGCACTCCAGATTGGATTGCAGTTTGAGAAGGTTCCCGATGTGGGATTGAGTCATTATTGGCCCATGTTTGCTTTGTCAGCTGAGTTTGTGAACTGCTTTCCCTTGCAGTCCATGGGGCACCGTGGACCGCTTCCTGGGCCCAGCAGTGGTGATTGGCGCCAGGAAGCCGCAAAGCTGCTGTGCCACTACTTAGCTACGCTGCAGAGCTTTGCTTGTAAGTCTTTTCACATGGGAACTTTCACCTCTGGAATCCTTCGGGCTGAACATGGCTCTGCTCAGAAGGAGCGGGAGCGCGTAACAGCTCTGTAAGCCCCTCAGCGAATCTCAGCGAAAGTTTTTCTTCCATTTTCGATTCAAAGCTCGAATCAGGCACCGACGCTTTTGGGCAGCTCTGGCCTTGCGAGAGCTGGCTGCGGAGAGCTCTCCCGCTCGTGCTGGCCTCTGCTTGGATATGCCTGGCTTTTTCCTCGCGTGGTTTGCTAGCCTTTCATTTGATGTTTCGTTAATTCGTTAAGCGTTGCGCAGTGGCAAAGGAGTTGCCCGTGCTTTTGCGGCTTCTAGAGGCTCTTTGCCTTGGTCTTAGCTGCCTTAGTCCAGCGCTTCTCTTCAGCGCTGCGGTCAACCCTGTCCAGGCAGGCGCTCCAGGGACTGGCGGCCACCTACTGCGGAATGGCCCCCAGCCCCCACAGCGATCCACAGGGAGTTTCATTGTACTTCGGTGCCATGCAGTGCCCATCCTGACTCCAGGTACGCCAGTTATGCGAAAGGGTTCATTGGCACGACATGGTGCCCCGCGCTTCCCATGCAACATGCTGCACACACACACACAAGCATGCGACATTCTGTTCGCAGACCTTTCGGGAGGCGGCGCTGTTTGACTGCCTGATGCCGCGGCTGAGCTTTGGGGCCGCAGCAGAGGTGGCAAAGAGACACGGGATGACACCGGGATGACACGGGGCTTTCAGAGGTAGCGGATGGTAGAGGTATGTAGAGGTCTTCGATGGCCTTTTGCCACTGAAGGCGCTGCCCTTGTGTCGCATCCCTGGAGTGGGGTCCTTAGTACGCTTAAGAATGGCAGCTTTGAAACCCTGCACTTCGGGGGCTCGAACTTTTTGGAAGCAATCCTAGGGCAATATGACAGAGACGGAAAGGGTCGAGAGTGCTCTTGAAGAAACTCTGCAAGGAAGGACCGGTAGCACGCTGCAAGGCTGTTGCCGGCTGTTGCCCGGCTGTTGCCTGAAGTGTGAAGATTGGACAGAACAGTGTTTGCAGATTGTCCCAGAAAGCCTCTTCAACGCGGCTTCGCATCCAAGTCGCGCACTTTACTTGGAGCTTCTGGAGCATATGGACTGTTCAGAGCCCAGGTCCATTCTGCAAGGGCAAGGGCGCTTCTTCAGGCATTTTCGAGGGAATCCGGGCTGTGAGTGCGATTGCGAATGGGCAAGTCGGGAAGTGCATCGGCAAATGCATCGGCAGGTTGGCCTGTCCAAGGTAGAAGAGGTTGCTTGTGTCTCAGTTGTGTCTGAGCAGTCTTTGGCGCTACGATTTGTTGCGAGCAACACCTGCAACTCGTGATTGTGCGCCGCGCTTGAAAAGCCGTGAAGACGTGGTAGACAGCAAGAGTCAGCAAGAGTGCTCCGAGGCACAGTCCCCGATCTCGATGATCGAGTCCGCGCTCAAAAAACTTTGCCAGCTTGACTCTGGTCCCCAGCTTAGTTTATGGGGGAACCCCTTGCATGCGCGGCATTGCGGCATTGGCTTTGTTGCAGGGAAGTGAGGAAGTGAGAAGTGAAATCGGAAAAGCTAATCAAAGCCAGAAGTCCGAGGTGCCGGAGGTGCCCAGCAAGAGGCGTGTCTCCAGGCTGTACACCAGGCTGCAGCCCGGATACTCCATGGAGCGCCAGGGGCCCCAGGGCTCCACGCTTGGAAAGCAGCTCGTTGTCATGTCCCTAGGTCCCCGCTTTGTCTGTTGCTCTGAAAGTGCGCCTCTTGCGAAGACCCCTTCCGAAGGCAGCAGCACGTCAACGCGGAGCTGCAGCGCATGCAGGCATCTTCATGTGCTTGCAGGTTGAAACAACCGAAGTACAGTATTCGTAGTACAATGGACAGCTCATGGCTTTATAACATTGTGGGAACTCTGGTTGTTTGTCTGTCGGTTTGTCTTCGCGCCACCCTCAGCTCAGAAATAGGCATGGGGCACCTGTGGCTTTGGTACTTACCTGGGCACATCCCGACGGGTGGGCTGTTGGATGCCACCCACACAGAGAAGATGGCCAGATTGTAGATGGTGGTTGCAATGGGAACCATTCATCCATCATACTACTTATGCATGTTGGGTCAACCTCATTCTTTTTTGCTTCCTTTTGCCTATTGTGAGCAAGGCAGGCAAGGAACCGGGTTGATGTCATTGTCGGAGCGTTGCGCACTCTTGGATTTCTTTGGATTGCACAGGATGAGACACAGGAGGCTCGAGCACGTTGGCTCCTCAGTGCACTGTCACCGACTATCAGTAACATCTTGGCATGCGTGGCAGATGTGGCGATAATGTCATACGTTGCCCCGAGGCTTTTGCCGAAAACATGGCCGCCCTGGCCGCCCTGGGTCCTTGACCTGAGACTTCATAGTCCGTCAGGCCGACATGAGGTTGAGTGCATCAGTCCGGGTTTTTGCGGGCGAAGATGCATATGTACAGAGGCAGAACGTGGTGGGAGTAGGGTCGAAACTAGGTGGACTGCCGGGGAATGGGCAGACAGCCTGGCGAGAAAACAAAAAACATGCTCCATAGAGTGTGCTGCGAGAAGAAAGCCACCGATTTCAGATCCAGCTTGGCACGCTTGTCCGCATCATTGTGCAATGCTGCGCGTTGTGGACCATGGCGGGAAGGGGCAAAAGGGGGTTTTGCACCCACGGACGCCACAGCCATGAGGTGTCATCGTTGTCATTTAAATTTACACCTTCTCGTTGCCCTGTCTCTGCTGTTCTTTCCTCTCAGTTCTTCGAATTCTTCGGCCCTGCAGAGGCAACATGGCGTGGCGAGGCCGCCTGGAGCAGAGTCTCACACCGACCACTCTCAGACTCAGTCGTCGCGGACGGCACGGACATTGCAAGAGAATGACGTGCCTTCCATGTCTGCACCCCAATTGACATCCCACTTGTCCAGTCTTCTTGACGGTCTTTCCATGTCTGCACACGTTCGAATTCACTGAAGGCCGTCGAAGCATGTTGCGAATCAGGAGGCCTTGTGATCCTTGTGCAGCTGCCACGAATATCGAAGAACACGGGGGCCCAAGGGTGGGCCACACAGTCTCACGTCTCACGAGCCGAAAGGCATCCAAGGCAACATTCCGCGAGCTGGGCCCTCAAGTGAAAGGTATCGGTATCAGACCGTCTCAGTGCACTGGTACCTGCTGCCCTAGCCTACTGGCCTGCCAGCCTACTAGCCTTCTTGACCCATGCAGGGTTCAGCTCCGACACGGTAAGAGGAACTGATCCCACTCAATGGCACGTTAGCGACAGCTAGTGCCGTGTTGTGTTTGCATCATAAGTAGGTCACAATCGCAGCAAATCACAGTGAGTCACAGCTGTCTCGATGCCTAAGGCAACGGATCGGTCTAAGCGTGGGAGATTCTTTCACTGGCTTTGGTGGGCTCATGCCCGGGCCCTGACCATGGGGAACTCGAGCAATCTCGGAAGAGAACACTTGTGTGAGCTCTGTGAGCTCTGTGAGCTCTGTGAGCTCTGTGAGCTCTGTGAGCTCTGTGAGCTCTGTGAGCTCTGTGTGAGCTCTGTGTGAGCTCTGTGTGAGCTCTTGGGTTGTTGGTCAGGTCCGGAGATGGCATCCGAGGCAACGGGGTGCTGTCGCGAGGGTTCTAGGCGCTGACACAAAAGCGGAGGTCAGGTGACACAAAATCCGCCCAGCAGCCAAGCTCAACAACAAAGACACACTTTCGTTTCGGGAGCATGCGCCGGGATAACCTGCAACACAGCAAATGTGTAGTGCAAACCCCTACCCCTACACACCAAGCCAAAGACAGCCACAAGCATCAGAAACCCAAGCGGCTGCACAGGGTTTTACTTGTATCACCTTCTGTTCAATCCACCTTGACCATCCGTATGCGATTCATTTCGGCTTTTTACCACCATCTCACGTAATAATGCTCGACCATTAGTGACATAGGCAGAAAGTCTAAGACATGTGTCATCTTTTGGCATCCCTAGTTGCGCGACAATGGTAATTTGGGCGTAAGTTTCCGGTCGTTTGGGTAGCAAGTGCGGGGATGCGGCCACCCCGACTGATGTGGTCTGGCTCCGGTCGGCAAAAGCATGCAAACTCCGTGCCTATCTGAATCCCACGCTACGTCTCCAACATCGTTCCCAAGGTCGATTTCCACACTTGACTTGGAACTTAACCCAGGGAAGTGCAAGGTTGTTGTCGCCACTGAGCGTCGCCACTGTGCTTCCTTCTTGCATCGCCTACTCTGCGAAGGTCGCTCCGGAGTGTGCAGCGATTCCCTTCGAATGCCTTCGACAGTGATGGGACCTGTTTGTAACACCTATATGCGCCGGCTGTTCGGCGCTATGGTGAACCTCTGCAAATACCCAACATGAGTCAACCAGACAACGTTCCTTTCAGCTGATACGACAGGAAGCTTGATCCGACACAAGGTTGACGATGGGCCGACTCATCTCTTACTCAAGATGTTTTAGGGAAACACATGTCATTAAGTGCAGATTGCCTTCTTTGCGATGGAATTGACCGTGTCGGCGACCACTCCCGTTCCCGTCCCCTCTGCGGGCTCTCGATCTGGGCTGTCTGCTTCCAGCGAAGCCGAGTCTTCCTCTTCCGGATCAGACTGAGGCCGGTTGGTCCTTTGACGCTTGTGCCGCCCACCGCCCACCGAGCCTTGCCGCCTGCGCACCCGCTCCAGCCAAACGGCTCGAGGCTATCATGAGGCCTGCACATGCAGTTGCACACTGCCAAGCATTGTCAGAACCAAAGGCCTGAGAACAAATGCGGTAGGGTTCATATATATATATATATATGCTACCCCCCCCCAGGAGAATCTACCTTTTCAGGTAATCTTGGATCTTGGATGGGTTTAGGGTTTAAGGTTTAGGGTTTAGGGTTGAGTGATGGTACCCCCCCCCCCAATCTTATGGTTCGAGGCGTACCGTCCTTCCTTCTCCATTATCTGTAATTGATATACAGTACATATACCCTATATACATACATGATGTGGGCACTTATCCTACTTTGTCTTTGCTTTTCCTAGCCCTATGGGATTTAAAGTTCAAGAGTTTAAGCCTCAAACCCTATAGGGTTACAAGGTTCTGTTACTGTAGGGTTTAGCGGGTTTAGGGTTTAAGGATTCTAAACGTGAGCCCTGTAAGGCTTCAGGGTTTGTCGTTGAAACAGTAAAGGGGTTAAAACCCTACAAGGTTTCGGGTTACGATTTTTAAATTCCTAAGTCTTAAACCACAAAAGGGTAAACCATGTAGGGTTTAAACCCTATAAGGGCTAGCCCCGATAGGGTTCTAGAGATACACCCTGAATAACCCTAAAGCTTTACATCCTATAGGGTTTAAATATTTCAACCTAAACCCTAAACCTTTAAACCTATAGAGTTTAAAGGCCACCTATTCGGTTTAAATACCTAACCCTATAGGGACTCTATAGGGTTTAAGGTTCAAGCCTTTAGGGTTACAGATTGAATGCCCAAGCCTTAGGTTTTAATCACTAGATCTTGCACCTGTAAAATCCTATGGGGCTTGCAGATTGTAATGCCTAAACCTCAAGGCTAAATTCCTAAACTTCATTCGCCTTCAAAACCTAAGGTCTGGGCATTTATACTTTTAGCGCCTTTAGGGTTAAGACCTTGGAACCTTCATAGGGTTTTAGGGTTCTGACCCTAAAGGGTTTAGGGTGAGGTTGAAATGTCTAAACCTTAAACACTTAAGGTTTAAACTCTATGGGCTTAGGTTTGAATGCATGAGTCTTAATTCAACCCTGAACTTTTACACCTTAAACCTATAGGGTTTAAAGGTTAAGGGCTTAGGTTCAATTGCCGGTTAAATGCCTGAATCTTAAACCTGTAGGGTTTAAAAGTTAAGGGTTTTGGTTTAATTTCCGGCTTAGATTTGAAATCCTTAAATCTTACACCCTAAACCTTTAAACCTTAACCCTATAGGGTTTAAAGGTTAAGGGTTAAGTTTAGTTGCTTAACCTTGAAACCCCATAGGGTTTAAAGGTGTAGGGTTTAAGGTGTAGCCCTAGATCCTATAGGTTTAAGGCATAGCGATTAAAACCCTAAACCTGTAGGGTGTCGGGGCTTCTCTTAAATCCTTAAAGCCTTAAAGCCTTAACCCCGATAGGGTTTTAGAGACAAGCCCAGCCCAAACAACCCTTAACCTTAAGAAAAAAACCCTGGAGCTGGAGCGGGAGCGGAGCGGAGCGGAGGGAGGGGGGGGGGGGGGGGGGGGGGGGGGGGGGGGTTGGGGGGGGTACCACAGGTCCCGAGCCAAGTTGGAAGAACCCCCCCGCCCCCCCCCCCCCTCCCCCCCCCCCACCTAAGCAACCCGACTGCCTATAAGCAACCCAACTGCTTCTAAGCAACACACCTAAAACAAAAGACAAACTCTTATACCTCATCCTCTGGATATGGAAATCTGAAACTCTCATCATGTAGAGATTGAAATGCGAATCTTGTTGAAGATGAGAGGGTAAGAATCTATACGAAAGCGTTAGAGGTATCTTCAACCCGATACGAAAAAGCTACAGGTGTCTTAAACCCCCACCCTTTGGAGGTAGATTCTCCAGGGGGGGGGTACCATATATATATATATATATATGTATGTAGGACCTTTATGCGTTATTTGACGGTCCTGCTTCGCCTTCCAAAACTTTAAGGATTTTAAGGAATTTAGGGGTTTTCCAAATTTTAAAAGGACCACAAAATCCTTAAAATTTTGAAAGCCCGGACCTTTCAAAATTTTAAGGATTTTAAGGAATTTAAGGCCTTTTAAATTTCTTAAAATCCTTAAAATCCTTAAAATTTTGAAAGAAAATTAAATTATTTTCCGGAAAGAGGCAGGCCCATTTAAAATTTTAGAAATCCTTAAAATCCTTAAAATCCTTAAAAATTTGAAAGCCCGGGCCTTGCAAAATTTTAAGGATTTTAAGGAATTTAACGCCTTTTAAATTTCTTAAAATCCTTAAAATCCTTAAAATCCTTAAAATTTTGAAAGAAAATTAAATTATTTTCCGGAAAGAGGCAGGCCCATTTAAAATTTTAAAAATCCTTAAAACCCTTAAAAATTTTGAAAGGTTGGGGCTTTCAAAACTTTAAGGATTTTAAGGAATGTAAGGCCTTTTAAATTTCTTAAAATCCTTAAAATCCTTAAAATTTTGAAAGAAAATTCAATTATTTTCCGGAAAGAGGCAGGCCCATTTAAAATTTTAAAAATCCTTAAAATCCTTAAAATCCTTAAAATTTTGAAAGGTTGGGGCTTTCAAAATTTTAAGGATTTTAAGGAATTTAGCGCCTTTTAAATTTCTTAAAATCCTTAAAATCCTTAAAATTTTGAAAGAAAATTAAATTATTTTCCGGAAAGAGG